GGTTAGGGTAGGTATGGATTATGGTAGTTCAGGTTCCATTTAATTTAGAATAGTTAGGTTAGAATTGTTAAGTTTGAAATGCTAAGTTAGAGTAAAATCGTTATTTTAGGCTAGGTATAGGATGGGTTAGGTTAGGTTTAGCTTAGGTTAAATATGGGTTAGGTTATTTCAGGTTTTCTTTAGGATATAATATTTGGAGTAAAATGGCAAGGTTAGGAAAATTTAGAAATGTTAAATTAGGGTAAAATCGTTATTTTAGGTTAGGTTATGTTAGATAGGTTGGGTTAGGTCAGGTTTAGGTTAGATTAGATATGGTTTAACTCAGTTTGTTACATTTAGGTTAGAGTGATTAGCTTAGAATTGTAAGGTTAGAAATTGTTATTTTAGGTTGAGTAAATGTTGGTTTAGGTTAAATTTAAGTTACGTTTAGGATGGTTAGAATAGATTAAAATCGTAAGGTTAGATTTAGTTAGAATCATAGGGTTAGATTAGAATCGTTACTTTAGGTAGATAGGTTTTGAGTTAGGTTTGCGAAGATTTAAGGTAGGTTAGGTTGGGATAGGTATAAGGAAACAAAGGACATCTAGCATTATTCGTTTTAGGACCTTTGGAAAATACACCCTGGGTATGAGGTTAGATATAAGGAAACACTAAACATTTAGAAATTTGGATTTTTAATTCTTCGAAAAATGAATTTTGTGTAGGATCGTCATAAACACTTTTTTTTTTTTTTTTTTTTTTTAGGTTATAGAGTGGGTCATTTGTAATTTAACGAGACATACTCAACCAAAAGACACAATCAGTAATTACATGTTATTATTCTAGACTATTTTCCAATCAACTTAATCATTGATTATAATTTTTATAATCGGACACGGTGTTTTCTATGATGACTACATTATTCATTTTCTGCTTGTTTCCTCTCCCCCAAACAAAAAAAAAAAAGAAAAAAAAAGAAAAGAAAAGAAAGCAAAGTGTTAACCAAATATTATTGACAATAACTATTAAGCTACCTAACCTACCCTACCCTAATCTAACAATTAAAACCTAATCTAACCATACCTAAGCAAACCTATCCGACCTACCCTAACCCAAACTGATCTAAGCCTAATCTTTACACATTTAATTTGTCAATTAGCATACATTTCCATTTTGTTATGTTAGGTTAGGTTTGATTAGATTAGGGTAAATTACCTTACCTATATATATACATATGTATATATATATATACATATATGTATATATATATATAATTTGTATATTTATATATACATACGTTCATTCATATATACATATATATATATATATACATATACACATATGTATATATGAATATATATATATATATATACACATGTATATGCATATATATATATCTATATATCTATATCTATATCTATATCTATATATATATTTGTATATATATACGTATGTAAATATGTATATGTATATACATATATATATATATGTATATTTATATATGTATATATATGTGTGTGTATATATACATACATACATATATATATATATACACATACATACACACACACACATATATATATATGTATATATACATTTATATACATATACACATATAACTGTATATATATATACATATATATATGAATGTGTATGTATGTGTGTGTATATATATATATATACGTATATATATACATATTAATATATATGTATATATACATATATACATATGTATATATATAATATATATACATATACATACATATATACGTATGTATATATATATATATATATATATATATGTGTGTGTGTGTGCATGTATGTGTATGCATGTTTATATATATTGATAGATAGATATGTATATGTGTATACATATATGTATATATACATATATATGAATATATATATATATGTGTGTGTGTGTGTGGGTGTATGTATAGATAGATAGATATGTATATATGTATACATATATGTAAATATATACATGTATAGAAATATATATCTACATAGATATAGATATAGCCATGAAAGTGTGTCAGTTTTCTTTTGTTTAATCAATAAAAGAAAACATTTCATGCATTATTTTATATGGAATGCATGAATTTCCTTCTCATTATAAGAAATAGAAGCTTTTTTTCCACATTAATTGCCATATTGAGGAGGCGGAGGAGCCGCTTTCTCGAAAGCCATGACCAGTAGTGGTCTGTTCAGTAATAACATACGTGAGTTTACCAGAACAAAACAATCATGGAGAATTAAATACAGGGCATAACGCATAAAAGTTTCTTATTCTCGAAAGAACTCTGTCAAAAATTTTATCCATAGCATAATTCAGAAGATTCTATAAAGCATGGGATAATTCTTTCCCAATAGTATCAAGAAGTTTGTTCCTTTTAGATGAAATATAATGGTATTTGATACCGTCACGTGTTCCCCAAGAAATGTCTTCTTTGGGTTATTATGTGTTGCACTAGGAGATCATACGGCTTATCCTTTGTGTACTCTCTAATGGCCCGATAGACTAGTTATTATAGATTTTACAACTGTAGCATAGTACACAACAGTATGGCTCTTCCTTTCTATGTAATATCATATAGTTCACTAGGCTATTTTCAAGTGAGGCTTTATTGTAAATGTTACAGCAGTAAGGTTACTCCCTGTATTGTAATATCACGTACTCCTGTATGTCTAACTAGATAATTTCTTCGTGAAAAGCTTTGTTGCAAATTTCATACATTAATGACTTCTTTGTATGTACTCTCATGTGCTTTACTAGAGTACGTGCCTCAGAGAAGGCCTTGCTGCAAATCTCACAGCTGAATGGCTTCTCCTTTGTATGTACTCTCATGTGCCTTACTAGAGTACCTTTCTCAGAGAAGGCCTTGCTGCAAACCTCACATCTGAATGGCTTCTCCTTTGTATGTACTCTCATGTGCCTTACTAGAGTACCTTTCTCAGAGAAGGCCTTGCTGCAAATTTCACAGCTGAATGGCTTCTCCTTTGTATGTATTCCCATGTGCTGTACTAGATGACCTTTCCGAGAGAAGGCCTTGCTGCAAATCCCACAGCTGAATGGCTTCTCCTTTGTATGTACTCTCATGTGCCTTACTAGAGTATTTTTCTTAAGGAAGGCCTTGCTGCAAATCTCGCAGCTGAATGGCTTCTCCTTTGTATGTACTCTCATGTGCTCTACTAGAGTACCTTTCTGAGAGAAGGCCTTGCTGCAAATCTCACAGCTGAATGGCTTCCCCTTTGCATGTACTCTCAAGTGCTTTACTAGAGTACCTTTCTGAGAGAAGGCCTTGCTGCAAATCTCACAGCTAAATGGCTTCTCCTTTGTATGTACTCTCATGTGCCTTACTAGAGTACCTTTCTCAGAGAAGGCCTTGCTGCAAATCTCACAGCTGAATCGCTTCTCCTTTGTATGTACTCTCATGTGCTTTACTAGAGTACCTTTCTGAGAGAAGGCCTTGCTGCAAATCTCACAGCTGAACGGCTTCTCCTTTGTGTGAACTCTCCTGTTAATGTTGATATTTCTTTTTTGAGAGAATTTCTTGCCATATACTTCACATGCAAAACGTTTCAATGTAGCTTCCACTTTTGGCTGTGTATCCTGCTTAAGACTTTCAATGTGTATCACCTGATCGCAATCTGATGAAATCTTATTCAGAGAATTCTCAGCCACAAATGGCGCTCTTAACAACACGCCATTACGATCCTCATCCAACTTACACGTGTTCTTCGCATTTGATTTATGTTTTAATTCATCGAGATTATGAAAGAAGAGACATTTATGTTTCACTTTCTCGTCGTTCACCTCATCCCTCTCTTTATCTGCATAATCAAACGGTTCTTCTTTAATTTCAATACAAGTATCCTCGGAAATATCTTCGCTGAGCTCTTCTTTGATACTGACTCCTGTGCCATAAATTTCCTCGTCCATGAGTGGGGCCAAAGGCATCCAGTCGGCGAGGATACTCATCGTCATCCTGTGAATGGAACGTATGCCAAGTAAAATTCTATATAATAATGTTGATAATGAATATGATCATGAACGAATTTATATTACTTATTATAACAGTAACGATAATTATAATGAAAAGACAATTCATTCCATAACGTATCCCTGCATGATTACTTACAGCAAAAACGTAATGAATAATTATGATATACATATATGTATGTAAAGCAAACACTCTTCTATCTACTTATCTATGTGAAATTGTTAAAAATCAAGGGTAACAACACTGATAGCAATATTAACAATAAGAAATGTTAATGGAAATTGTGAGTTTTATCACAATAGTGATAAAACCAGAAATAACAAATTGTGAATTATTATACATAAAATTATATCAGTAATAACAATAATAATGCTAATATTATTCATATTAGAAAATATTGTAAAAACGCTGATATTTAGAATACAAGTAAATAATAATTGTGATGTAATAACTGAACTGCGAAAACGAGTTCTATATAAGTAACGAGAAACGAGAAACGAGAAACGGTATATATATATATCTGTGTGAGTGCATAGATAAATCTTTATATACATGAATATATATATATATATATATATATATACACACATGAATATATATATACCAAAAATTATATATATGCACTCATACACATACACATACATATGTACATACATACATATATATATATATATATATATATATATATATATATATATACATATATATGTATATATATATGTACATACATACATATATATATATATATATATATATATATATATATATACATATATATGTATATATATATATATATATGTGTGTGTGTGTGTGTGTGTGTATGTATATATATATATATATAAAGAGAGAGATACATATGTATGTATATATCTATATCTATACACACACACACACATATATATATATACATATATATACATATAGATATATATACATATGTACACACACACTCACACACTCATACACACACACACACATAGAGATAGTCTAATTAGGCATATGAGCGTGCACGCAAAGGAGAAGCCATTCAACTGTGAAATTTTCCTTAAGGCTTTCCCTTCCAAAAACGTTCTAGCAAGGCATATCAAAGTACATACAAGGGAGAAGCCATACAGCTGCGAGAACTGCAGCAAGGTCTTCCCAGAAAAAGGTCACCTGGCAACACATATGAGAGTACATACAAAAGAGAAGCCATACAGCTATGAGGTTTGCAACAAGGCCTTCTCACATAAATCTAATCTAGTTATCCACATGAGAGTACACACAAAAGAGAAGCCGTAAGGCTATGAAGCTTTTCATGAAACTGTTACCTAATGCAAAATCTTTATACAAAACTGTTACCTAATGCAAAATCTTTTCACGAAACTGTTACCTGGTGCCAAGTATGAGAGAACGCCCAAAAGAGGAGCCAAACGGACGTGATATTTGCAACGGGAAAAATAAAAAACTAATCTGTTGAACCAGTTGAGAGTACATGCAAAGGTGAATCCCTACCGATGTACAGTAGTACAAATAAAGGAAAAGGCTCATCTCTGCAAGGTTTGAAACAAAGGCCTTGTTACAGGTGAGAAGAGATAAGGTTGAGAATTTGTTTTCTCAGAGTATAATGTAGTGGGTCATACTGGTGAATACACACAAACCAGAACCATACAGATATTCGCTTGACCTTATATCTCTGAGGTTTAGAGACATGCTTTCACTCAGAGAAGACATCTCGTGGGCAACGCAAACTGCATCGAAGAGCATGTTTTATCTAAGAGGAGCAATCTTTCCCTTAACATTTTTGGGGAAGAATTGCCCGAAATTTTGGTGGATATCATTTTCCGATTTATGTTGTGCACGTGGTGTGTAATTCTTGTCCGGCATAATGAACTTTCATGTGTTATGACGTGTATTTAAGTGTCCATGGATTTTTTTTTGTTCAAGTAAACTCATGTCTGCTGTTACTAATTATATAAATATGTATGTGTGTGGTTGAGAGTATATGCATATATATGTATGTGTATGTATGTCTATGTGTGTGTATGAATATATATTAAATAAAGTAGTTTTATAATTGAATTCCCTCACATAAATTAATTTTTGAGTTTTTTCAAGTTTTGTAATAATTATTATTGATAAATATTATGATCTGAAAATACTAAGGCATTATATAGTACAATAACGCGAGATATAGTTGCCAGATGTAAATAATGCTGAGCCAGTGGTCTCGAACTGGAACTTGGAGGTGAGATGCACGGTCTTGCGGCATTTTGGATTATGGTTCAGCTGCTACTCTAATGTGGATCATATACAAAGTTTCCAATATGATTATTTGATGATTAATACAATGATTGGTATACAGTGATACGTTATACTTAAGCATTTGTGGGTCTTAAATGTTTCTGATCTTTTTCTGATGACCACATTTTTCAATCAACATTCTTAATGATTTACATCAAAATATTACATTAATAAACCATATATTGATTTAATTTTCCCGATTTATTAGAGGGAAGTCCCCTTCATTATTAACATGCGTGTCATTTAGGCACATTTTCTTTTTGTTTAGTGCAAGGAATAATTTCACCGATCTGTGTGTTAACATTTCTATGTTGCTCTTTGGTCTTTGCCAGAGGGCATGGTGTATTTCCTTTTGAAAATACATTTGTAGACCTGTACCAGTGTTTAATATATTTATAAACCTATAGTGTTTATATTTATAGACCTTTAGTGTTTATATTTATAGACTTGTAGGGTTTATATTCATAGACCTATTATGTCTAATAGATTTATAAACCTATAGTGTTTAATATATTTATAGCCCTATACTAGTGTTCATATTTATAGACCTAAAGTGTTTATATTTATAGACCTATAATGTTTATATATATATATATATAAGTAGATATATATAATTTATATATACATATATAGCTCTATATATATTCGTGTATGTCTATATGTATTTGTATGTATATAAATATATGTATAAATATATATGTATACATATGGTTCTATATATATATATAAATATGTAATTATAAATATGATTATAGATACTATATATATATGTATAAATATGTACATATATATAAATGTATAAATGACTATGTCCTGTCTTATAAATGACTTGAATATAAATGACTATGTCCTGTCTTGTTACATGATAGACAATATGGGAATTTAGATCATATAGAAATTCTTCATGCGTATGAACTATTATAAGTATTTGGTAAAGTTTACGCAAAAAAGAAAAAAATAACTCTTGATGTTCCAAATCATTCTACAAACTTTATGAAAACAAGTTGATCTTATTACTTATAATATCAGTAATATTTAATTAATTAGTTTTATCTTTATAATTATCACTATTATTACCAAAATCATGATTTTTACTAAAATCGTGACTTTTACTAAAATCATGACCTTTACTAAAATCATGATTTTTACTAAAATCATGATTTTAATAAAATCATGACTTTTACTATAATCACGATTTTTACTAAAATCACGATTTTTACTAAAATCATGAATTTACTAAAATCATGATTTTTACTTAAATAATGATTTTTACTAAAATCTATGTTTTTACTAAAATCATAATTTTTACTAAAATAATGATTTTTACTAAAATCCATGTTAAATTCATTAATATCATTAAATCATCATAATGATTAAAATCATCATCATTATTAGAAATTTCATTATTAAAACCATCATTACTATTCAAATCATATTTTTTAAATCGTTAATATTAAAATTATTATTATTAAAATCCTCATTGTTATTGAAATCCTTTTTTATTACGATTATGAAAATCAGTACTATTATTAAATTCACTATTGTTATTAAAATCATTATTAAAAGTCATCATTATTATCAAAATCAGCAAATTATTAATAAATTATTATTATTGTTAAAATCACTATTATTATTAAATTCATTAATAGTATTGAAATCATCATAGTTAAAATTATTATTATTAAAATTCTCCTTATTATTAAAACCACTATCATTTATTCTTAAAACCATTATTATTATTATCAAAACCATTATTATCATCAAAATTATTATTATTAAAACCCTTATCTCTATCAACATCATTATTATTAAAACCATTATTATTAATATTATCACTATTCAAATAATAATTTTATTGTTATGTTACTATCATTATGATTATTATTATTATTTGTATTATTTTTTCATAAACCATCATTATCATTCAAAACTCACCTTTGTTATTGAAATCCTCATTTTATTAAAATCATTATTATTATCAAAATCATTAACAGCATTATTACTATTAGAATCACTATTACTAAAATCATTATTATTAAAGTAATTATTCTTATTATGAAAATCATCAACAAAACATTATTGTTAAAATCACTATTATTAAAATCATTATCAAATTAATTGTTCTTATTGTCAAAATCATCAACAAAACATTATCATTATCAAAATCACTATAATTAAAAGCATTATGATTAAAGTAAATACTATTATTAAGATTGTTATCATTATTAAAACTCACCATTGTTATTGAAGTCCTCATTTTATTCAAATCATTATCATTATCAAAATCATTTTAATAGTCAACAGTCAGACTTGTGGTAGTAGCATTGGAATGGCAATCCTGACCTGGTAAGACCACTATATACCATGGATTCGGGTTTTCCAATAGTTGCATGGTAGATGGAATGGTAGTTTGGGTGAAACTCCACTTTCTATTGAAGCTACAGTGTGGTGTTTATTCTATGGAGGGGATAAGCCTTTGGTGTTTTACAAGGCACTATAGACACCTGGTCTCGGGGACATAAGGGTGATACTCTATAGGCCTTGTAAAGAAGGGCACCAACCAGGGGCGGATCCAGAACTATTCCGAAGAGGGGGGGCAGTAGATAAAGGGAGCGCTTATAAACATCCGGTAATTGATTGATATTGTACCATCACCATGTTGCTGTACGAAATCAGTTTAGTTAACACCGTAGGTCATGCTCACTTTGAGTGGTTTGAAAATTGTTTGTGGAAAGTTTTAGCCATGCTTCTTTTTATACCCTGCCACTATCTCGACAGAGAAAGATTGTCATTCTATGTTATATACCAATTTGTTTTATAATGATTTGACAGTGAGAATGATAACTGCCGCTTATATGTTTCGTTTTTGGATGATCCGATAACTATTCATGAGGTTCCTTCGTCAGTATATCAAATGTCATTCTATAGAAAAGGTGCGCGCACTTCCAACAGACCAGTTACCGAGCAGCGAAGAGGGGGGGGGGGGCAACTGTTGGTGGGGGAGTAGCGCCGTAGTTCAGTACTAACTATCGTAGAACATGGGCATTCGTGAGCATTTATCCCTGGTAGATTTTTGCTAATTCCGGTTAAAATCGCACTGAATTCCGTGTGACCATACGAAGTAGATGAGACTGTGTAACCTCATTAAGTTATTTCATGTGTTCATAAGAGAAATGAAATACTCTCTGAAATACATTCTCACAGAATGCGCCTACGTTTCCACTGTGCATGGCAGATCATAGAGACAATTATTGAGAGGTATTACATGCACTGCGGCGAGCCGAGCGCCACACTCGTACATTACTTAGAAAATTGTGAGCATACACAATTCCTGAGACAGGGACCGCCTACAACGGCCGCCGTGCTGGTAAAGAGGTTACGCGATATGCTTACACCATGGCGGCAGGAGCGCCTGCTGCTGGCTTCTCCTTTGCGTGCACTCATATGCCTAATTAGACTATCTCTATGTGAGAAGTTCTTGTTGCAAATCTCACAGGTGTATAGTTTCTCCTTTGTATGTACTCTCGTGTGCCTAACAAGACTATTTTTATGTGAGAAGGCCTTGTTGCAAATCTCACAGTTGAACGGCTTCTCCTTTATGTGTATTCTTATGTGCGTTACTAGAGGACCTTTCTCCGAGAAGGCCTTGTTGCAGATTTCACAGCTGTATGGCTTTTCCTTTGTATGTACTCTGATATGCTTTACTAGATTGTTTTTGGATGGGAAGCCCTTGTCGCAAATATCACATCTGTAGGGCTTCTCCTTTGTGTGGACTCTCATGTGAATATTGAGATATCTCCTTTTAGAGAATTTCTTGCCGCACGCCTCGCATATAAGACACTTCAGCGTCGGTTCCACGTCTGGTTCTGTATCCCTAAGACTTTCCTTATGTATCGCCTGATCCCCTTTTGGTGAACAGTTGTTCCAACAATCCTCAGCCACTAATGGCACTCTTAACACGTCACTATGATCCTGAACCAAGTCACACGAGTCCTTTGCATCTGCTTCATGCCTTTGGTCATGAAGATTATGAAAGAAAAGACACTCGTGTTTCACTTTCACGTCGCTCACTTCTTCACTGCTCTTCTTTAATTTCTAAACAAATATCCTTGGAAATATCTTCGCTGAGCTCTTCTTTGATACTGATTCCTGTGCCTAATATTCCCTCATTCACGACTGAGGCCAAAGGCATTCCATCAGCAAGGAAACTCATCCTGTGAATGGAAAGCACACCTAATATCGAACTACATAATGTTGATATTAAGAATGAAGAAGCTATTACAAACTATTTGGTATCACTTATTACCAAAATGAGGAAAGCTACAATAAAAAAAAACAAAAACAAAACAGGAGTGGTGGTGGTAACTAGACATGAGGTAGTAAAAGTAATAAAAAAATATCATTTCATAATGTACTGTTATATAAATACAGAAGTGATAAACATTTATGATGGGAATTTTGAGAGAATTTTCATTACTGTTAATGACAATAAGAATTACACCCAATTTAAGGAAAACCGATCACACATATGATGATGTAGTACAAACACAGAAATGATAATAATAAGAAATAAGAAATGCCAGTACCAATTGTCATCAAAATCCTATTATTACAGTATCAATATGAATGCCAGTAACAATAAATTAAAATATAATTTTATCACAAAACTAAGTTTTGGGCAGGGTTAGAAGACTTAAACGTGCTAGACATTAAACGTCTCATAACACAATGGTGAAGTACTCTAGTGAAAAAAGGATAAAAAAAAAAAATAGATGGGAATTGTAGTGAGAAAGGGTTGAAATGTGTTAACGTTTAGGATAAAATTTGTTAGATCTTAGAGTATTGTAGGACAGAATGGCAGTGAAAAGAGTAAGAGGGGTGGGGGGGGGGGGATGGAGTATGAATGGGGATTTGTAAGAAAGAGGAAGAGGTTAAAGTTATAGGGCGTTCAGATCAGATCACTTGAAGAGCATGAGTCTGAGGAAGGGAGAGCTACACTGCACGAGGAAACGATTAATGGTTAGAACAAACATGTGCTAGGCATTAAAGGGCCATACGGCACTATCATAAAGTACTGTAGAGTAGATTAGGATAAAAGGTGTTAGATGTCAACGGTTGTAAAACACTGTAGAAGATAATGGTGGTGGAAAGGGTATAGAGAAAATGGAGTATGGAACAGATTTTGTAAAGGGAAAGGGGTACTGGCATAAGGTAATCAATTCAAATGCAAATAAGACCAGAGGCCAAAAGTGACTTCGTCTCCGTATGTGTCCAAAATTTAAACAAGTTAATAAATAAACAACGTAAGTAAATAAGTAAGCACATTTAAAATACTAGAATGAAATAAAATAAGTAGATATAAAATAAGACTAAAAACACTAGAATAAAATACTGCTTTCATCTCTCAGAACCAAATAAATCAGGATCTACAATGGGTAAGTATACATATTTTTATTCTATAATATTAATATACAAGTGAAAATAAAAAAAAAGTTTATCTGACTACATATAATTTGATTTTTTTTTATATCGCGAGACAGACAGACAGATACGAGACATACAGATAGAAGCGAGACAGACAGACAGTTAGAAGCGAGACAGACAAACAGAAGCAAGACAGACACATAGTTCCTTGACTCTCTGACTGTCTGTGGGTATAAATCCCATGCTTATAATATTACTATTAATAATAATACTTATACTATTACTAACTTATACTATTACTTATACGTATACTATTACTGACTTATTGACCACTACATAACATAACATAATGCATAACGTAACATAACATACTACATAACATAACATACCAGTGTTGCTTAAGACACAACAGCAGAATGTCTAGTGTGGCGAGAACCGGTGGATTATCCTCCTTATCTCCTTATTTACTCATTTATTTACTTGTTTCTTTATTTACTTATCTACTCTTTTATTTACTTATTTACTCTTTTATTTACTTATTTACTTCCAGCAGCAAGTTCCTCCTTATTTATTTTTTATTTATTTACTTATTTACTTGTTTCTTTTACTTATTTACTTATTTACTTATCTACTCTTATATACTTATTTACATGTTTACTCATTTCCTTGTTTCCTTATTTACTTATTTCTTTATAACTTTATCTACTTATTTACTTATTTCCTTGTTCACTTAATTAGTTCCTCCTTACTTATTTAAAGATTTCCTTATTTACTTATTAACTTCCTGCAGCAAGAATGCTAGTGTTTACACTGCTTTCACTTCGTGACGACTCTGTGACAGATGCAAACAACCACAAAAACATATTTATATAAGTATATATAAATACATATGTATACATATATATATATGTATGTTATGTATCCATATATTTATGCATGTGTATACGAGTTTGTGAGTGATTACGTGCGTGCATATGTGTGTGTGTGTGTGTTTGTGTGTGTGTGTGTGCGTGTCGGTATATATATACATTTATAAACATAAATATATGTATAAATACATATATATATATATACATTTATATAAATACAATATATATTTACACATTGTGTGTAAATTTGGATACATATACATGTATAAACATATATGTATGCATATGTGCGTATATATATTCACACATAGAGATGTGTATATATATATATTCACACACACACACAAAAAAAATCATGCCTAAATATATATATATATATATACATACATAGGCGTAGGAGCCAGCCCCCCCCCCCCCCCCCAGTTGGGTAAATGCATAAATGTTTCCAGTAGAATGCACGAAATCCCCACGACGAGGCAGAAGTTCAGAAATTCGGGGCAAAAGCCAGATGAATATATAAAGACAGACACATATTAAATTCGGTTGTGGTACCAGCCAAAACGTTTTTTCTATGGAGTTCTGGATGCATTTTCCTTTATTTTATCTCTTTCTTTATATTTCTCTCCCTCTCTCTCTCTGTCTCTCACCCTTTATCTCTCTCTCTCTTTATCTTTTTCTCTCTCCCTTTATATGTCTCTCTCTCTCTTTCTTTTTATCTCTCTCTTTATACCCCCTCTCATTAAAAGAGGTGGGGGAGTGGGTTCTCAGAGCAACTAAATCATTACTATAATCAGAACGAAAAGCAGGAGCTCACAGATAAGATACACTCCTTCTGAATGCTTGCTCTGTGACCACTGAGCTTATGTGCAAATTGCCGACGGCTCTCCACCTTCCCAGACCAACACCCTCAGATATATCCTGTAGCAGCAGGATTTCAAGAGAAATTTGCATTTGCATCTGTACGTGATAATCCCGGCCTGCCGTACCCTATACAGTGGAGTGGAAAGTGAGAGGAAAATCAAGCGAGACACCAAAATCCACACCAGACATTTAAACAGAAGACTAAAATAGAAATATATGTCTAGACAGCAGGCAAATATTTTCAGCCCCCTTTTCTAAACGGCTTTATTTATTTAAACTAAACCACCACCCCATTCGGCGAAGGGCTGCAAATCCTTTAATTACATAATTGAATTTCATAATGTTATTATTTCATAAAAGTAAGAGATTATTAATCTATCATTTTAATTATGTCGTTGATTATTATGTTCATTATTTCATAGAATTATTATTGTTAATTATCAGTTAGTAATAAATCAAAAAATCAATTGTGATGACCAACCATTTATATAATTAATAGAAATTAAATAATAATTATCCCATGAAATGAAAACTAACAATCATAATCCTGTAATTCCATAATTAAATTTCATGACAGTTTTCCACACACACACAAAACAAATCTGTCTTCTGCTTCAAATTCCCAATTAGCAAAATCAATAGAAATGACACTTCTCCCAATATTAAATCATGCTTATATGTGTGTGTGTGTGTGTGTTTGCGTGTAATATAAAGAATAAATAAAGAAATATATCGTATAAATAATCATACATATACACACCCACACACACACATATATATATATATATATATATGCACATTTATACAGTATAACTGTATAAATATGTGTATATATACATATGTACGTATATATAATTCACATGTATACATACTCAATATATATATTATGTATACACATCTATATATTGTGTATGTATGCATAATAAATTTACATGATGATAATTCAATCATTAAATCATTCCCAGTTCAAAGAAAAGATTGTGATTCGGTTTAAAACACCGTTGCCTCAGCATCCAAGTCTGCAATTATGTGCAAATTGATCAGGAGTCTTAATCACGTCTGTGGATAATCTAAAGCTTTTAGGTGTAATGTTTGATTCAACGCTTACATTGGAACTGCAGATCAGCAATATGATTAATGGACTTCAGTGGATAGTCTAAAGTTCCTGATTTAATGCTTACATTTGAAGAGCAGATTAGGAATATGGCCCGGGGCAGTTTCATCTGTATGGAGCATCATTGGGAAGAAGATATCCTAAGTTGACCGCATTACTCGTAGATTTTTCTTCTCTTCTATTCTGCCTCGTTTTTGAGTACTGTTCTCCTGTGTCGATATCCGCCGCAGAGTCATACTATTGCTTGATCGTTCTTTAAATTCCATTACATTTCTCTTACTGACTGACTTAAATTGGGACACTGGGCACCATATTGGGGCTCTCTCGGTCTTGTACAAGATTGCAACCGACAAATCATATCCCCTCTATACGTTTTTACCCCATTTTCTATCAACCCGCGTAACCTACCAGAATTTCTACGCCCTTCAATCCAATGCAAGTCGATCGTCGACTTCTCAGTTCTCTA